CGTCGGCAATGATCAAGGTAATCATCGCATTATAATTGCCGTGTGTTGAATTACGTCGTTTACTGGGGTGTTATAAAACCTGTCTGCCAGACAGTGTGGCGCTTCAATCGTATATGACCAGGAAACGAGCAACGGTTCAACTTGACAACAAGGTGTTGATACATAATTGGCGGCAATTAACAAAACGAATCTCTTTTATTGGTGTGTTCTAAACACGTCTGCCAGACACCGTGGCTCCAGAGTAGAAATTTCCATTCTCTGTGACAAGGAAACTCCCGCCCGTGTCATAAAATCAAATAAAAACAACTATGTCTTGATAATAACTGCAAATTATTTGTCTTTATGAAAATGCTCATCATGGAGTCAGAATAAATGAACGGAAAGTCTTTCGTTCAGTTGTGTGCCTAAAGTTCGATCGAAATGAAATCGTCGTGACGCGAAACAGTATTCTTATACTTTTGAAGGCGCCTATCTTTTAGTACGATCTAGACGGAAACAACCAGAAAACTTCTGCTTCTATTATCTCGGCGCCTGAGGCGTGAATTTATGCTATAATCTGGTTACTTCAAATGAAATCCGACATCAAACGTCAAACTAATCATAATTGCATACCGTTTCCTTTATTGCCCTGTCATAAGTGACTATAGTACGTTTCGGCTCGGACATTTCGGCTTCGGTTTTTTTTTCGCGTTTCGGCCACGCGGACTTTTTCATAAGAATATAGAAAGTTTCGGCCACGGAGCTTTCATACATTACAGCCACGTCCTATTTATATTTACATCGTGCGTTATTAAAATATAATTATAAATGAATCGTGTCTGTAACGTAATAGTTATTAACAAATTAATCAAATAAATATACATATGACGTGAGAATTTTAACTTTAATATCAGTGCACACGAAGAGATCACGACACGGACAACACTTGACAACACTTGACAACCGTCACGTGAACGGCTAATACCGGTGATTCAGTAATACAAGTAGGGAATTGATTAGTGGATTTTTTAAATGTAAAAGTACAACACGTAACAAGTCTTGTCTGCTATTAAAGGGCTTACGGTAACAACAAGGGGGGTGAATATTCTCTGCTTGTAACGAACGAGTGAATTTGTAATTAAATATAAATGAACCGTCATTATAATATACAAGTTATTAGTAACGCCCGCCCACTGTAATGAGAACAAGGCATTTTTGACACTTGGGAGAAAAGCTTCTATTGCGTCGCGGTCGCGGTGTAACAATTCACTGGATCCAGAGTCCAGAGGGGAGGCCAGGGGGGCCATGGACCCCCAAACGCATGACGATTCATATCATCTGGATTACGCATAGCTTATCTGCGATTTACGCTCCGTAATTTTAAGCGAAGCTTGACCCCCCAATACATTTTGCCGGATCCGCCACTGTTTACTGCCTTTCAAAGTAGATCGTAAATGAGACAACTAACTTATAAAATTTCAACGTATGCCAACCAGGAAATAATATGGTAAATCGTATTTAAACTAAGCGACCTAACGGTCAAAATAGCTCTGCTGTCCTACAAGAACATCGTAGAAGCGAAGTCAAGTGATGCACACCCATGAGACAAAACACATTTAACCCACAACTGGCTGTTAATTTCAACGAATGTCAACCAGGAAACGAAAATGATAAAAATATTCACTGTAAATAAATAAAGAATGAAAGAACCAAGGGAGCCTGTATACCAAGCATTAATGCAATTCAAGTTGAGCTGATAGTTTCCAAGAAAAAGTCGAAAATATCAAAAATGACAAACATATTCACCAAAATTGAAGTTATTGTCACAAAAAGAACAAATTTGACCACTCAAGGTCCACTCAAGTTGTATGCACAGACAATATCGAATCAATGTTGCTCGCCGTTCTCAAAACGTCGAAACTAACATTATTTACCAAAAATGTTAGCTAAAATTAGAGAATTGATGTTTTCTTCACAAATGTACAAATACTAGGTGTTTACACATAAAAAATATCGAAGCAATCAGGATAGTCGTTTTCAGCAAGAAGTCAAAAATGACAAAAAGTTCATAAAAATTAGAAAATCGAAAATAATAACACAAAATGAACAAATCTAAGAGATGTCCATCTGAGATACATATATACAAAGAATAAAAGCAGGCAGACTCGCTTTTCAAGAAAAAGTCGAAAATGTAAAGTTGTCACCGGCCGTGACGGATAACAGCCCCGCTCCGCCGACTAAGTAAATTGACAAAGAAAAATACTTCTCCGAGTCCGTCAGCAGATATCGGAATAATACGTTATCATTCGCCTTTTCACTGTTTGTTGCGTACAAAATAATATGATGTAAGATGTGATGAATACACTGGACTTTGATTATGGTTAACTGAAAACGCTGTTCTTGCAGCAAGTAATAGTCAGTCATTTAAACTCAGGCATTTTTTCTAACGCACATATTAGCACGTGCAATATATATATATGTATTCGTGTTTTTTTTCGTCGAACGAATTCGCAGTGTTATATATGGTAAAAAAACAGTTTTATTTACAATATATCATAACCCGATTTGGTCTTCAACAAATTAAATGCTTAACGTCAACAAGCATGGCCAGTGGTCAGCTACAGTTTATAATCATAGCAACAGCACCTATTTTCAAAAAAGTAGGAATCTTCCCCAGTTCCCGGGAAGCTATGTTAGACTACACGGTCTATGTATATATAGAGTAACATTACTATGGTTAGAATGTATGATACAGGTAAGTTCTTGAAGTCTGGACTTGACTGTCTGGGCTGTCGGTCGGACGCTACAGTGAGTTCAAGGAAGAATGAAACACATTCGCAAATTACGAATTATCAAGCCACCAAGTTATATGTTTCCGGGAAGTGCGTGGTCTTCAATTTCACAGCATTCCATAAAGGCATCATATTGAATATTTTTTTCATTATCGGATAATTATCGAGCTAAAATGACATTTGAAAATTCTAGTGAGCGTGCGATTCGAATTACCTGTAACAAACAACAACAACCTGAACAACAAAAACAACAACACATTATTATATATTCAAATTATCATTTTTATTTTTAAAAAAAGCAAATAAATATCGCCGTCGATTATATTCGACTAAAATGGTGACTATAGGTCAATATTAACGATTCATAATAATATACACATAAAAACTTTTGCTTCAAGAGTTTCTCTTTTTTACACAAATAGACTTGGTTTCATGCCAGGTAACAGCTACGACGCAATGGTTGCTGGGATATTGCGAGCGTTGGATTTCTCTGTCGCCTTCCTGGTATTGTCAGATAGAAAGACCGCTGTTCGCAACATTAGTATCGGCGTGATACTTGTCAGTAGCAATAATTCATGTCATCAGAAATCTGTAAAATAAATAGAAAAAAAAATATGTAAATATTTATTTTAGAGGTCATCTTTCGGATAATACTAATACATGTACACATTTTAGATAATCGCAGTTCAATTTTCAGCATCAAGTCTGCCACTGTGTATAACCATGGAGGTAAAAAAGATTTTCAAATTGTTTATTTATTTAAGGAACCTGTCACTCAAATTCATAACACACGCGTAAACAGGGAGTTGATTTCTGGTCCAATCCGCTAAGCTATTCGTACAATAGGTCTGATTAGGGAGTGGCAACCGTAGTAAGGAAACAACCACTGTTTATATATAGCACTTTGCAAACAAGTCTTCAGATTACAGTTGGAAATGCATTTTTTTTTCGAAATACATTGTTTTAGACTAAAAATCATAATGAGCCGCAAACACGTGGTTACTAGCATGAAAATGTGTATATTTCAAAATAAAATTCATGTAAGGAGGTAATTATCATTATTCGCATTCTTAACAGTATAATGAAATTATTTCTTACCGGACTGTATGCGTTGGTGTACGTTGTAGAATATGAGTACGCCATTTCTTCATTGGGGCCAAGTTTCGCTTTGTTGTCATGGTGATGATGCTGACAGGACACTGGATGTGGTGATGCTCTTACTAAAGTTGAAACTGGTGGGGG